CCCCCCCCCGCTCCTCTCGCGCGCGCGACCCTGCCCCCCATCGTGCATTGCGCCGAGGCATGACCGATCCCTCGTCCGGTTCTGCGTCAGCTCGAGACCAGCCAACTGGCCAGGGCGGTCACCACAGCAGCAGCAGCAGCAGTAGCAGCAGCACCATCGGCGGCAGCGGCAACAGCCCCCTCCCTTCATCGATAGGCAGCCATCCCCCGTCCTACGGCGGTGGGCACCACGGCGGCCGGATTTCTTCCTCCGGCGGCGGCGGCGGTCCCGGGCACCCGAGCCCCCCGCATCCGCAGATCCATCACGCTCTCCCCCCCGGTGTCGGCCATTCGTACGCGCGCCCCTCTTCGCGTCCTCCTGCCGTTGCTACCGCCGCCACCGCCGCCACCGTCCCCACCGCCGCCACCGCCGCCACCGCCACCCGGCCTCGGTCCCTGACACCCGCCCCCCCGGCTCGGCGGCCGCCCAGTCATCATCTCGGAGTTCACCACTCCTCCGCTTCCCCCATGCCCCACGTTGCCCCTTCCGCTGCCTCGCTGCCGCCGTCTGGCCCCGGTGGCTTTGGGTCCTCTCTGCCTGCCTCTGGTGGACCCAACTCCGGGCCCTCTGGCGGCCGTTCCGGCGGATCTGGCGGGTCATCCTCAAATCAGCGCCGTGGCCGTCGTGGCCGCCGCACCGATGACACCCATGCCACCTCCTCATCGGGGTCTTCATTGACTTCCGCGGCCCCTGGCGGCAGCGGTCCCGGTGGCGGCGGGGGTCATGGCGGTGGCAATGCCAGCGGCCATGGCGGTGCTGGCCACCCCGGCCTCGGGCCCGGTGGTAATGCCGTCGGGGCCGGCGCAAACAACGGTGGTCCTCATGCGCACATGTCCTTCGCCCCAACCCGCGGGGCCGATGCCTTCCCCGGCAGTTACTTCCACTCTTCCCCTGCTGGCCCCAATCCCGAGCAGGATCTCCTCCCTCACGCCTCTTCCAGTATGCCCCCGCCACCGGCCTCCTCCGGTCCCAGTGGCAATGCCCGCACCTACAAGTGCGTTTGCGTCTCCCTGCCCCTTCTCTGCCTCCTTCGGTCTCTCTCTCTCTCTCTCTCTCCCTCTCCCTCTCCCTCTCTCTTCCCTCTCAGCATTCCCGATCCTCACACCTTCCCCCTGCCCCTCCCCCGCTTCCAGCAACAATCCCCGACCCGCTCGGCACTGGCTTCATCCGCTGGATGATTGGAGCAACAACCCCGATGCCTTTGTCGTGCATGTGAAGAATCTCCCGCACGATGTCACCGACCAAGACGTCGGGGACTTCTTTTCCAAATACGGCAAGGTCAAGTATGCGACATACGTCCGGGACAAGAACGGCGGCTCGCGCGGCTACGGCTTCATCGTCTATGAGCATGCCGAAAGCCTGGAGCTGGCCGTTCGCAATAACGGCGTGTCCCTGCGGAATCGCGAACTCCAAATCGAGCGTGCCCAGCGCTCCTTCGAGGTCAATTACACCACCAACAAGTACCCCTACTACCCGCGCGGGACACCGGAGTTCCTGGCCCAGCGATCGGAGAAGGCTCGCGACCGGGCTGCCATGCGCGCCGGCACCGGTCGTGATCGTGACCTCAGCCCCGGTCGCGCGGCCATTGCCTACCCCCCGGATCCGATGAACCCGGAGGACGAGTACTCGGCTGCCGGGCTCAACATCGCCCACTTGGGCATCCACGGCGGTGGGCCTGGCGGTCACCGCGGTGGCAGTGGCGGCGGCGGCGGCGGCGGCGGCGGCGGCGGCGGCGGCGGTAGCGGCGGCAGTGGCAGCAACATGCGCACGGGCCCGGGCGGCCCGCTTCACCACCACCACCACCACCACCACCACCATCACCATGGCCATGGCCACGGGCCACAGGGTGGCGTGTCTCTCGGCGGTGCCGGGCACGATAATCCCGGCGTCTTCCCCGTAACATCGGGCAAGTCCTCCGCCGGAAAGGTGCGTCTCGCGTCTCCACCCGGTCCGCCCTCGGGGCCTGGCTGGCTCTCCTTCTCCTCCATCCCCCCTGCCTCCCCCCCCCCCCCGCGGCCCTGGCCAGCCCGACCGGCCAGCGGGCCACCTCGTCCATCCTCCTCGGGTATCACATCCTGTCGACAACCCTTCGCGGGAAGTTGGCCCTGCCATACAACTTCCCGGACTGCCTCGGCTCCATGGCGGGGGCGGGGGGGACAGCTGGGTCGAGGCGCCGAGACCTCCTCCGCGCGAACAGGCAAACCCACAGCGCCCCATGGCACACCCCCCCCGGTCCCCTCTCTTGGCCATCCTTCTGGCAATGATCCTGACCCTCCTCCCTTTTCCCCTTCGTTCCCCATCCCTCCGGTCTCTTCTGCCTCGCTTCGACCGCCACACCAGCTTGGGCTCGATTCGTCGTACATCTCGCGCGGTCGATCTGGTTCTCTCGGTGCCCCGGCGCACCTTTCCCCGGGGGGCGATGGCAGCGGCTTCCCCAGCCGGCGCCCCAGCCACTCGTCTTTGAATGCCACCCCGAACAGCGGGACTACCACTCCCCCGGCCGCCGGTCACCACCTGCCCACCACCACCACCACCGCCGCCGCCGCCACCACCACCGGCAAGTCTCACGGCGGCCCCACCGGCCCAGGGGGGGTCTCCTCGCCGACTCTTTCCGGCCGGCACATGCCCCCCTCGGTGGCCGATGGCCCTGGTGGCGATGTGTCGATCTTGTCGCCGTCGAACCTGCCGAGCGGCGGGACCATCGCCGGCCCGGGGCATCCGTCACCGAGCGCTGGTCCGGCGGCCGGCGGTGGCAGCATCCGCGCCCCCCTGGCCCGGCCACCTGCTCCTGTCACCGGTGCCGCATCGTTGTCGTCGTCGTCGTCGTCGTCGGCCGGGGGCGCTCCGTCCTCCACGCACCGGCTTCCCCCGCCGGCCGGCCCCTCGACCGGGCCCGTCCGTGCTCCGCGGCCAGCCTTCCCCACGGTGGCCGCCGGTGGTCCGGTTGGCATGGTTTCCCCGGCCCAGCTGGTGGCCGCCCCCTCGCAGCTTGCCCAACCGATCCCGCCATCGGCCGGTGATGCGCTCGCTGTTCCTGTCCCTGGTGCCACCCCGCGCCCCCGGCCCCCGGCAGGCATTGGTCGGTCGGCAGCCGCGGCGGCCGCGGCCGCTGCCGTTGCCGCAGCCTCCGCCCCGACGGCCCCCTCCCCTTCAGTAATGGCAGTGCCTTCCCCCTCGTCCTCGTCTCCCTCGCCGCCGGCAGCGGTGCCCGCCGTCACTGCTGCGGTGGCTGGCTCTTCGGCTTCGGCTTCCACTTCTGCCTCTGCCTCCGCCTCCGCCTCCGCCTCCGCCTCCGCCTCCGCCTCCGCCTCTTCCTCCTCGTCCTCTATCGGGGGCTCCCCGTCGGCGGCCTCTCCCGGTGGCTTGGCAGCCGTGGCCACCGCCTCCATTGAGCATGGTATTCCCCCACTGCCGGTCAGTTCCACCGGCAGCGGCAACACCACCCCCCCGACGGTTGTCGGTGTGGCAGCCGGGTCCGATGCCTCGGCCGGGTCTTCTGCCGGCAGCGGCAGCGGCAGCGGCAGCGGCGGGCCTTCCTCCCTGTCGAGCCCTTCTTCCGGGCTGAACTTCGGTGCGGTCGGCTCGCGCGTGGCCTCGGGCCCGGTGGCTGGCCCGGGTGTCGCGTCCACCGGAGGAGTGGTGTCCCCCTCGGGGGCTTCCGGCCCCGGGAGCGGGACCTCCCCGGCTACCGGCGCCGGTCCGGGCAGTGGAGCCGCCTTCCCTGGGCCCATTGGCAGTGTGGGGGCATTTGTCACCTCCGGCGGTGGGTCACTCAATTTCGGCCCCGGAGCCGGGGCCCTCCACCCGGGGCTGGACTCCTATGCTCATCACCATTCTCACCATCAGCTGCATTCGCACCATCTGCACTCGCACCATGGGCACCATATGATGCACGCTGCTCCGGGCTCCGGAGCGGGGCCCGGTGCCACTGCCGGCCACCGGCCCGGCGATGCCGGGTCCGCACTGCTCAATGGCGGTCTCCTGCGCCCGGGAGCCGGGGCCCTTTCGGCTTCGGCCTTCTCCCTGGCCGGGCCGTCGCTCCTGCAGCCCTATGTGTCGTCGCTTGGACTCGGTCCGGCCGGGGCACCGGCCGTGCCTGGCGCCCCAGCAGCGGCTCCCGGCCCCGGCGCCGGGGGCCCCACCTCGCCGCCCACTTCGCCGAAGCACCCGCTGGCGGCTTCGGCGGCCGTCGGGACCGGGATCTCCCCGCCCGGCAAGGTCGCCGACCCGGCGGCCCCTGGTGTGGCCATCGTCCCGGGAGGGGGCGCCCCCTCGAGTGGACCCGCCGGTGTTCCCCCGTCCTCGGTGGTGGCTCCCGGCGGCACGACCGCCAGCACCGGCGGTGGCACCTTCAATCCCTTCGAGTCCTACCCGATGGGTGGCCTGTTGCTGAGTGACTTCCTGGGTCCCGGGGCCGGCCCCGGGACCGGCCCCGGAGGGGCCCTATCCTTCTCGGCGGCCATGAAGCAGCATGGCGGCTTTGTCCCCTTCGGCGGGGCCTCCTCCTTGCACACGCCTGTCCATTTGCTGAGTAGCGCGGCGACCGGCGCCTCTGCCGGGGCCGGGGCCTCCTCGCTGAGTGTCTCCTCTGCCGCGGCGGTGGCCGCCTCCTTCTTGGATGACGCGGACAATGACCTGTCGCTGTTGGCCGCGGCGGCAGCCGAGGCGGGCGGTGTCTCGCCACCCGCCGGCGGCGATCAGCCCGCCGTCTCGCCGGATGCCTTGCTGGTTCCGCACTCGCTGTCGAGTGACACCCTGGCCGAGCCGACCGGCTCCGGGCCCGGGGTCCCCTCCGGTGGTCCTCCCGGATCTGGGCTTTTCATTCCCTCCCGTAGTGACCTGTCTCCCTTTTCGGCGGGCCCGGGCCCCAGCGGCGCCGGCATCTCCCTGCACCATGCCCATCCCTTTTCCTCGCACGGTGGTGCCCATGACTTCCGCAACCCCTCGGCCCTGACAATCGGCGGGCTGCTGGATTCCACTGCCGGTGCTGGTGCGTCTTCCCACCGATTGCCGATCCCCCGCCGATTATTCCACCATTCGGCTCTGCTCTCGCTCTCTCGCTCCCTCCATCTCTCGCTCCCTCCATCTCTCGCTCCCTCCATTTCTCCCTCCCCCCATCTCTCCCTCCCTCCATCTCTCTCTCTCTCTCTCTCTCTCTCTCTCGCTCGCTCTTCCCCTTCCATCCTAAACTAATTGCGTCGGCGAATTCTCCCTCACACGTGCCGGTTTTCCCCTAGGTCCTTCCCATTTTGCTGGCCATGCCCTCGGCACGCCGAGCTCGTTGCTGTATCACCCGGCCAGCTCGGCCGCCCTTCCCGGCCATCACCACCCGTCGGTTTCCCTTCTCGGGGCCACTGGCCATCATCACCACCAGCTGGGCAGCCTCGGGCTTGGAGCCGCCGCCGCCGCCGCCGCCGCCGCCGCCGCCACCGGTGCCCTGCCGAACGGCCCTTCCTCGGGACACTTTTATGATATGGAGCTCGGACGCAACAGCGCCCTGATCACTGCCGAGACGGCTGGTCCCTCCCCGGATTCGGCCTCCTCGTCGCTGTCCCTGCCGGCCTCGGCTCCGGGGTCCTCCTCGGGTACGCCGCGCCTGGCCACCCTTGAGCACCATGCCGCCGGAGCGCCGACCGGTGCCACCGGGGTGGCTCCCCTGCTGAAGCAGCATCCTGGCGCCGCTGGATCTGGCACCGTGTCGCCGACCGACCCGGCAAGCGCCCAGGACCCCACCGCGGAGACCACTACCTCCGGCTAAGGAAAGGTCATCTGCTCGGCGTTATTCGTCCCTTCCTCCTCTCCTTCTCCCTCCTACCTTCCCTTCTCCTCCATTGCTGTCCTATGTGTTTGTCGTTGAGGCATCCTCCGCTGCGCGAGGAGACAGGCGCCTGAGGAAACGCGCAGGGGGGGGAGGGGACGGGGCTGGGGCCAGGGCCGGATTTGCGGTGGGGCCCACATTTGCCGGGTCTATTCACCGACATTTGTGTTCCCTCTTCTGCCGTTTATCTCCCTCTCCCCCCTCCCTCCCCCCTCCCCCCTCCCCCGCGCATCCCCCTTTCCTGTTCTCCTGCTCTCCCCTCCAGCCGACGGATGCATTGTTGTCCTTCGTTGTTCCTCCAGCCACCTTCCACGCTCCGCGCTTCTCCTGCTCCCTTGACGCCATGCCCGTTCTTTGTCGTTCAGCAGGAGGAGGAGCGTCCACACAAAAGCATACTGCCGCGTTCTGCGCCCTTGGGAGACAGCATCCACTCCACACCCGTTCCACCCCTCCCCCCTCCTCGTCTCCCCCTCCCTCGCCGTACCCCTCCATGTTCATCTTGTCCTTGAGCTGCTATCGACGCGCACACCCACACTTGTACACGCGCGCGCGTGCACATGTGCCCACCCCGTCCCTCGTGTTCTCGTCGTCTCCTCCCTTGTTACCCGCCCTGTCGATGGCGCGCGATGCGACGGCGTGCTTCCTGCTCCTTTTCTCCCCTCTTCCTCATGTGGGTGCCGGGGAGAATGGCCTCCCAGGCGACAATATGGCCAACCTGGCAGGGGGGGAGTGCATCACTTCCTGGGGTGCCTTTTTTGTTTGCCGCACGTGCTGCCATCCTGTCCTTGCCCATCACCTCCACCCCTCTCCTTCCTCGTGAGACACAACCGGGGGGGTGTCCCCATGCGTGCCGCGTGCCGCGTGCCATGCTGATCCACGCGTCCCTGTCCCTTCTGTCCTTCCTTCGTCTATCCATGTCCTTGCCTGCTCCTCGTCCTTCTTCTCCCTCCCTCCCCTCTGTCCTCCGCGTCCTGGCGAATCTGTCTCCCTGCCTGCCGTGCCTGCGCGCGCGCAGTACTCAAAATGCTTTTCGAAAAAAATATGAGAAGTCGCTTTCATACATGTGTGTGTGTGTGTCTGTGTGTGCGTGTTCCTCGATTGGTGATGGGTGGTATGTTGTCCGTGGGAGGGGGAGCCTTCCGCGGAGGCCGAGCTCGGCCCTTTTTTCGGATGGCCGCGAACATTGTTCCCGGGCCCTGCAAGGAGCCTGCCCTGTGCTTTGTGCGGCGCAATCGGCAACCGGATCCTTTCGACCTGGGCCGGCCGTTTTCTCCACCACCGGACGCGGCCCCCGGCCTGTCCGTGTTGTCACTCGGGGAAGCGAACATCGGGGGGAAGGACGGGCCGGGGGTCCCCGGCCGCCGGAGGCCCTTGGCCAACCGCCTTTGCCGGAAAATTGTTGTCTACCTTCCGAAAGGGGAGATGCCTGGCGAAAATCATGCGGAAAAGAAAAGCCCGAAGTGCCAATTATTTTGCCCCCGTCCGTCGACACATTTGGCCCCCTTTCTCCCACAAAAGTCCTAAATGGTGTTCCATTTGAAATTCGTCCCCATTCGATTCTGCTCTCCCGCCATATTCCCCGGGCCGGGGGGGGGGGGCGCAAGGGCCGAGCTGGGGCTCTCACCCCGAGCCGGGGGGGGGGGGGCGTGCATATCGGCACCTAAAGAAAGGAGCCCAACAAAGAGGGCAAGGCAAAAGACCCCCAGCCGGGTCAGCGCCCACCTCGCTCCCGGAGGTTCTTCTTGTCAAAAGGGCCCGCGGTCTGCCATCTCTCTCGGGTTGCATGTTGACGGAGGTGTGTCTCTCCTGGATGAGGGCCGGGCTTCGGGCGTCGGGCCGTGTGTTTCGTGCTTTCCGGGCCTCGCCCGTGCGGGTCCCGTGGGAGATGACCAACGGGCGAGGCGCCGGCTCCGTGTCTCTGCCCGTGCTAGGTCGAAGGGGCGGCGATGGCGACCGCGGCGGTTCCGGCCGGCGCCCTGGGCCCGGAGCGTCCTCCGGGCTCGGAGCCGGCGGCCGTTCTGGTGGGGCCTTTCTCACGGGCGTCGCGTCGTGTACGACATTCCCCCCTCCCCCCCGCGCCCCCTTGTAGCCGGGCCCTCTGGGTGCTCGGCAACCCGTTGGGGCTGCGCCAGCTGCCAGGCCGGCCGATTGAATGGTCTAGCATGCGAGCCATCCAGCCGCCGGGCCCTTTTTGTTATTGGTTAGGCGCCACACCGGCTGCAGTTCCCGCGGAGCCGGACGCCGTAGCAAGATGCAGAGGGTCGGCCTTTGCTGCTTCGGTCCCGAGGTCGGGCAGTGCCGGCACCAAGGGGGCGGGAGGTTCGGGTGCGCGAAAGCGCGAGCACCCTCGGGCACGCAATGTGAGCCGGTGTCCGACCTTTCTCAGGAATGCTCACCGACCTGCTCTCTAACGGTGGGGGGGCCGGGGAGGGGCGTCCACCCGGCTCGGTCCCTGCAGCCCTGCCTCCCGGCCGCTCGGGAGGTGGGGGGAACAAGGGGGCGCGACGCACGGCCCCGGCCGCCGCCACCGCCACCGGCGGCGGACGATCGCGTCGCGGTTCCATGCATGCTTGCCGTGCCCTTCCCCCCCCCCCCCCCCCCCGGCCCGGCGCCCCGAGGGGAACACACCGGGAACAGTGGTCGTGTCTGGGCGGTGGCTCTCCAGCCCCCTTGGGGGGGGCACCGCGGCCGTTTGTTCCTTGGACGGACTGCCGTTGGCGCTGTCCGGTCGCCGCTCGAGGCATTTCCAGGCCAGCGGCCCCCGGCGTTGGTGCGTGTTTGCTGGAGCCTCGTCGGTGCGGGGGCTTCCGTGCGCATGCCCTTTCCAGCTAGGACGGACTTTCCCCCGGGCGCGGGCTGCCCCCTGTGCCGCGTCGTGCCCGCGCCCGCGCCCCTGCCCCCTGTTCCCTTCCTTCAGACGGCCCCTCAAGCTGCCTCGGGCGGGGGGGACAGAGGATGGGAGAATGCTTGGTGCTTGTCGCCCGTGCTGGACCGGTGTCAGTTTTCCCCGGCCTCGGCCTTTTGACGGCCCTCCCTCTTGCCGGGCTTCTGCCGGGGGCGGGGGGGGGGGGGGGGGGGTAGCGTGTTTAGTGCAGGGGCTCGGCCCGCCCTCGTCCGCCTGCCTGACATCCTTCCTCGTACACGCCGATACGTGCGCACCCAATCACACGCGCATTTCGACCAGCCTGAGCTCGAGGCTTGTGTCGGGAGCCGGGCGCGCCCTCCTGCCCCTGTCTCGCGCCGGGGACCTTGTGCCGGGGCTGTGTCTCGGCTTTTTTCTCTCGACTCCGGGTCTTTGTACACTTCACTTTGCCCCTCGGAGTGGTTGCTTCCCCGGCTCCCGTGTGTGTGTGTGTGTGTGTGTGTGTGTGTGTATGTGTGCGTGTATGTGTGCGTGTTTGTGTCTAAGTGCGGGCCTCTGGCTCCCTCCCCGGAGCTGTGTGTGTGTGTGTGTGAGCGTGTTAGTTCCCGCTCATTCCGACTTGCCAAGGGGCGGGGTGACCCCACCCACCCCCAGGGGGTGGGTGGATGAATGCCACGGCTGCAGGTGCCCGGTTCGCGGTGTCCCCCCCGCCCCCGGCTGAGGGGCAGCGTCTGCCCGGGAAATAAATGATGTCAGGGGTCCTAGTCCCCAGGGCTGCCCCGGGGTGGGGGCGCGTAGGACTCGCGACCTGTGCCCCCGCCCCCCCCCCCCCCCCTGCGCGTTCCTGGTGCCTTTGCCTTTGTCTTTGCCCCCTGCCCCCCGCCCGGCGGCTGTCCCCCCGTCCCTCATGAGTGATGCTGCGCCGGGCGGCTCGGCGGCGTCGAGGTCGAGAACTGTCTGGAGCGCTGGGCTCTGCCCAATTGAAACATCAAGGCCGGTTGTGGCAGGGGCACGGCCCGGCTCTTCAGGGGAGGCCCGCCCAGGCCAGAGGCGCGGGGGGGGGGGGGGGAGTCCGGCACCGGAGACGGGGTGCGGGGAGTTCTCACCCGTACCCCAGGGTGCGCGGGCGGGGGCCGGCAGGAGGCCCGCACCTGGCTGCTTGGTGGCCGGCTTCTCATCCCGTCTCGGCCGGCCGGCCGTACGGGGGCCGTCTCCCTCTCGCCGGTGCTTAGCGGGGACACTTTTCCGCCCCTCCCCTCCGGGCCGGAGTGCCAGCATTCCTCACCAGCAGAAGATAGTTCTTGTTTTGTAAGTACTCTCTCCCCCCTCATCCCCCCCCTCCGCCCTCTCTCTCTCTCCCTCTCTCTCTCTCTCTCAGCCCTCCTCCCCTCCCGTTAGCCACTCTGTCTTTCTTTCCCTGTTGCCCTCTCTCTCTCTCTGCCCCCCTCTCTTCCTCCACGGTGTGCCTGCTTGGCGGGGTCCTCCCGTCCATCCGATGACTCCCCTCTCCCACGCGCCATCCGCCTTGGCGGCCTGCCGCTGCGCCCGTGTCACATCTCCTTCTCCCCCTGCACTCTTCCTGCGCTTGCTGGCATGCCCGCCACCACAACTTCCGATGACCCCTTCCTCCGCCCCTCGCCGGTCCCCCTGCTGACCTTCCACCCCCTCTCCTCCTCCTCCTCCTCCTCCTCCACATAGCTCCCTATCATCTCTCCTCTCCCTTTCCCCCTTCGCCCGCCGCTGGCTGTCCCCCTCCCCCCCCCACCCCCAGTAGCACCATGTCCAAACCCTCTTTCCTCGTTCTCGGCGGTGTCGGCTTCATCGGCCGCAACTTCGTCACCCACCTCGTGGAGAATGACCTTGCCTCGGAGATCCGCGTCGTGGACAAGGCCCTCCCCGCCACTTCCTTCATGAACGCTCGCCACAAGGCCGCCTTCGAGAAGGTCGAGTTCAAGCAGGCCAACCTGTCGGTCCCGGCCTCCATCACCGCCTCCTTCGACAAGGAGGGCGGCGACTTCGACTATGTCATCAACCTGGCCGGCGAGACCAAGTACTCCCAGAGCGAGGCCGTGCGTCGGATGGTCATCCACTTCACCTTTCATGGCCTCAGAGGGGAGGATTTCCCCCTGCCCACACCTGCTTGTCGACTCACTCCCTGCCCTTCTGCTTTGTTTGCCCCTTTACCGGCCTTTGCCTGGGTATCCCCCCCCCCTCCCTCTCTCTTGGCCCATTCGCCAGATCTACGAGGAGCGTGTCTTCAACCTGACCGTCAACTGCGCCAAGGAGGCCGCTGCCCGCAAGGTCAAGAAGTTCATCGATGTTTCCACCGCCCAGGTGTACGACGCCGGCAAGGTGCGTCCCAGGGCCATCCCTCCGCCCTCCTGCCTGTCCTCTCTCCCCCCCCCCCTGCCTCCTGCCTCCTCTCTCCCAGGGACGAGGGGCCTGCCTTTGCATCTTTCGCTCCTCGTCACATTCCCCCCCTCCCCCCCCCCCCCCTGTGACCCTGAGCACGCTAGCTCCTTCACCCCCTTGCCGGCCGTGTATCTGACCCGTGCCTCGTCCATGTGCTCCCTCCTCGCATGCAGTCTCCTTCCGATGAGAATGGCAAGATCAAGCCCTGGACTGCCATTGCCTCCTACAAGTACAAGGCCGAGCAGGCCATCAAGCAGATCCCCGGGTATGTACTTCTGTCCCTTTCTCTCACTTGGCCATCGGCTCCCGCCCCCTC